TTATGTAGTGATGTCAGTTGGAGAAATGTTGGAAATCTGCAAGCACTAGACAGCTATTCGGTACTGGAATGGAATTTCTCAGCAGCATGAACCCATGACCATAGAGTCATACGTTCATTTGAATCGACTGTCACATAGTAGGTCGTTACAGAATCTTTCTTAAATGAAACCGTTATTTTATTCATGGTATGGTATCATATTGCAGTCATGAATGAGATATTATATCATTGGTTTCTCACAGTGGTGCATACTTCCAATCGGAAGAAATAAGCGCAACAGTTATATCTGAACACTGGAAATGGAACGGAGAGTTGTTTGATATGAATCATTGGTTAATGATAGGTTGAGACTATTCAAAGAAAAGAAAATAATTTGGAAATTAGAAACCAAAATTCACAGGTAATCCAAGACTGGTCAATTTAACGTATATCCCATCCGGATTCTAACTACACTTAGCTAATAAACACCATCAAACATGAAATTTGAATGAAGCTGTATGTAATGAGCATTGACTCCCAACATTCCATATCTGGGCGATCAAATTATAAACTAAGTATGTGAACTAGAGTCAAAACAACTGACTTGACAATGTCACAATGATTTACTCTCAGTTAACAGTTTAGAGAAGACAAGCCCACAAGCTTTCATTTCTTCCTCACACCACCTCCTCCATGTCACCCTCACCTCAAACGCCCAACTCATCGCTTCCCATCTACGTTCCACTCGAGTGTATGGCCTGGTGCCTGATGTCACCAGTCACTCTTCTCAATGTATGCCCACTCCATTCCACTCCACTTCAGTCCACTCCAGTCCATCTCCACTCCACTCCACTCCAGTGCATATTTGTTGAGTGATAGGTTCTCGTTTCGTTGGTCAGTTGCCAGCCACAGTGAGTTCCTTGTTGTTTATTCTTATTATTATTCTGGCCATCTGATCTTCAGTGTCAGTAACGAGCCAGAGAAGGTGACAGTTGTTGATGAATATATGTAGTTTGTTGGAAATGCTTAACGTGACATGCAAAGTCTCTGAGTCAACACACGGAAACACTGACTTACTTGACTGAATTGGTGTTGAAAATCCGAATGTTGTTCACGCTTTATGCTGAGAGTGGGAGATCTCCACCCTGGTTTCAAGTTAGTGCATGAATGCCTGTCTTGCTGTGTTTCTGACCCTGGTTTTGACGTCCTCATCTGTGCCTGTGCCACCACCAGTAGTTGAAACAGTGCTGCCTAGGTGGTGGGTGAAAGAGACTACTTCGTTTAAGTTTCTCCCGTTGATGATTTTTGGAGCTTGTTGTTGTTGATGTTGATGTTTGGGTATCTTCATCTGTCACCCCTATCTTCTCCACATTCACTTGAAGTCCCATCTTCGCTGCCTCACCTCTTCTGTCAACTTGTTAGTTTTCTTCTGTAGATCTTCAAGTTTGTGTGCCATTGGACAAAAGCCTTCGGCGAAATCCAAATCTTCTTGTGGAGTCTTTTCATCGGTCCAGCCAGCGTATTCCCCTCTTCTCTCTCCTCACTGTTTGTTGCATGATCCAGTCCACTACAATGAGGAATATCATGGGTGATAGTAGATGGCAGCCTTGTTTCCTCCTGTCTTCACTTCACTTCAAAAGTATCACTGAGCTTCCCATTTTGAATTACTTGGCATGTGGCATCTTCATATAGATGAAGATCCCATATGGCCCTTCGTAATTTAGAACACGTTTGAAACAATGACCAGTCTTTTTATCTCTGAAGTTCATAGGATGAATGCCTTCTATTATTATCAATAAGTAACTGTCTCCAGTTTTAATCTGATAAGTCTTACGGGTCATATTAACCTGTTACGCAAGGGAAAGCTACCATGATGCATTGGTCCGGTGGATAGCGTTGTGACGCTTGAAGTGACGTGTGCACAGCCTGAGTCTCAGTGGGGAAAATGTCAATTACAATGAAGGGGTGTGTAAAAAATGTTGATTGTTCAATATTAATTAGAGAATCACTGAAAAACCTGGAAGTCTCCAGTAGTGTATACCCATCAACTGCAACGTTTGTGGTATCGACAACACATCTGACTACCTACCTAAGAGTTTTGTTTAACCTTTAACAATCAAATCTACTCAACTTTGTGACACAGATATGGTCATCCTGAGTTGAATACACTCGAAAGTTAAAGCTTTCACATCATAGTTGTATTCTTAATATGATGGAACCTTTAAATCAGTGACTCTTAGGTAAGATGTCAAGTACCGGAGATGTACAGCAGATAGATTCATCAGTTTTTCAGTTTTCAGAGACTGAGGTAACTGGAACCTTCGTTGTCAACACTAACTCATTGAGCTGTTTGACTAGCATTTTTAGCTAAAGTAGGCTTAGTTTGATGGATTCCAGCAATCCATGAAGTCTCCAGTCTTTAGTTTCAGCTATTAGATAAACCATAGTCTTTGTGGTTGATATGCACTGGTTAACCAGAGTGGATAAGGCTGAAAAATATCAACAGTGGTTAAAATGTATCTACTTCATATGTTCACATCTTTATACCTGTGAATCTAAAAAATACGTTTCGTTCTATCTGGAAGTCGTCAGCTGCCACGAGAGGTCGAAAAATTCGATAACATATTATTATTTATATTATTATTAGTCCCTTGGGTTCCTAGTGGAACATAGGGCTTCAGCAGCATGCCTCCAGTGACCTCTGTTCTCTGAGATCTTTTGAACCTGGTCCCACGACAGCCCAGAAGCTCTCATTTCCTCCTCGCACGACCTCTTCCATGTCACCCTTGGACGTCCAACTCGTCGCTTCCCATGGGTCGATAACATATGGCAAAAGGGAACTACTTAGCACTTTTTTGATCCACGGCTTTAAAGAGTTATTTGATTGTAAGTTATTTGATTTCAGCTTACACCTAGAATACTGGATCATTATAAACAAGACTTTTCAGGATCAATTTTGTTTCACTACAGCTAGTTTGGATATTGCCACCGAAAAAAACCTGATCATCTTTAGTATCTTAGGTGATATAATACACACTTTCTAAAATGCTTATGACACATTTCAAGGAGTAAATGATTTTCTGTTTCTATTATCAGATACTAAAAACAAGTTGATCTGAAGTAGTTAGCATTGTTATCTTCTAGTCTTTCATTTTGCCCGGTGAGGCAAACTAAGTCAAATATCTGACACTTCCATGATCAACGCCAATTTCATATTTAAAAACTTAAAACATGTGGACAGTCAGTATGATGAAGTAAAATCCACCAACCATTTTTCATTCAGTTTACATGTATGGTAAATGTTTAAGAATTATTACGAAGATGAGGTGAACGTCAGTTTATAATTCACAGGTCACCAATTGAAAAGTAGATGTGAAATACTCTGTCTCTGTGAACTTCAATTACCTTTCCTGTTGTAGAGGGTTTCTTCTCAAATGAAAAGTTATTGGTCATATATAGTATAGTCACTTGCTATCCCAATGTAGATACAAGCGCACAAGAAATTAGTGATGCTAAATCGATTCAAGATTTTAAGTTGAAAAACGCTTAGGTTCAACATTTAGGGATGGACAAAATGAGATTTGTAAGTCTTCAGCCACCAATCGGTGTGACATCCAGTACTGGACGACTGCACACGACGACATCATGTAACAAACTGTGAAGAGACAGAAGTGGGGCACACGCTACAGGGACTGCTGAAAAGACACTACACGATTTGTATTTCGCCAACTATGATGATTTATGTCTAAAGTCTTGTCGCCCAAACTCGATGATCTACATACGAAAAAAGTTGGCGGATGAGGCAAGGCGAGGCAACTAAGGAAGACCAGACTTCCTTCAGGTAAACGTAGAGAAGATGGAGGTGATGAAAATGCCCGACCAACAACAATAACATCAAGCACCAACCATCATCAAGGAGACGAATACCAACGAAGTCGTCTCTCTCACCTAACTGCCTACCAAGATACCATCATCTCAAATACACACGGCACAGGCACAAATGAGCATGTCACGACAGCCAGCATTGAAAAAACACCAACACAGGCCTCCCTACATTAACGTGAAATAATCAGTGAGGAGATCTACTCCACTCCACTCCACTACACCATACTACACTACACTAAAATACACTACACCACATTATACTACACTACACTACACTACACGACACGACACTACACTACACTTCACCACACTACAATACAATACAATATAATCCACTCAGCATAAAGCGTCAACAACATCCGGATTTCCAACACTACTAATCACAGTCAACTAAATCAGTGAGTGCTTCCATGTGATGGTTGAGAGAATTGGCGTGTCATGAAAAGCATCTCCAACGAACTATATACACAAACACACACACATCACATCACATGAACAGCTACCGTCTACCTACCCTCACCCCATACTGATAGTGAAGATCAGGTGACCAGAATGATAAGGATAAGAGTAAGCGAGGAGGAACTGTGGCTGGCTGGCTGGCTGATTGACTAACTGACTGACTGGCAATCAACCAACCAACCAACAACCTATCACTCAACAAATATGTGGTAGAAGAAAGTGGAGATGGATTGGACTGAACTCGATTGGATTGGATTGGATTGGCAATACACTGAGAAGAGTGTTTGGTGACATCACGTGTTATGTCAGTTCAGGCTAGGTCATGTTAGGTGGTCGAGTTTAAGCAGAATGGGGAACGACGAGTTTTGCGTGTGAGGTGAATGTGACATGGAGGCGGTGGTGTGAGGAAGAAATGAAAGCTTGTGGAGAGTTGTGAAGTTGTGTTAGAGGTACTGCATAGAGTGGAGTGCAGTGGCGACGTGCTACTGAACCCCTATGTTACACTGGGTATCGAAAAGATAAATCGAAAATGTAAAAAGTCATTAGTTATCATGACTGGAAAACTTTTGTTCTGCTGTTCACCTGATGACTTTGATAAATCTCTTTTTTCTGAAGAGTTCTATTCTATGGTAAATAGTTATAATACTTAAAATTTCAATCTTTTTTTTTATTTTACAGGTTAATTATCTTGAACATGTTCAAGCATTTGTAACCATCAAAGCAACACGACGTGGTGATGTCACTATATTTCTCACCTCACCAATGAATACAACTTCAATGTTATTAAGACGTCGTCCAAAAGATATTGATAATACACGTGGCTTTACTAAATGGCCATTTATGACTACGCATATGTGGAGTGAAAATCCACGTGGTAAATGGTCACTTATCATTGGATTAGATCCAAATTCTAAAGATCCACTCGGTTATGCTTTACTAACTGAATGGATTCTTGTTGTTCATGGTACACAAGATCCACCATATGATCAACTTTCAGATTCTATAATAAGTATTGCTCCAAAATTAGGTATCGTGAAAAAACAGCATGCAACAAAAAGATTTAAAGCTTGATAGTATCTATTTACAAAATGGTGGTTTTTTCAGTCTTTTTCTCCTTCTCTCTCTCTCTCTCTCTCTCTCTCTGTCCCTCTCTCTCACACACACGTACTCTCCCTTTCTATCTCTTAATGTTATATAAATGTTGTCCAATAAGAAATGATTTATCACTTTCACTGCATTTTTCTGTTTTCTGAGAGGACAATATATCTGTGTTCAATGTTCAATGAACCGCGGTTACCGCAAAAAGCACCTTTGTTCAATGTTTCAATGTGTGTGTGTTGTAATCTTTATCATTGTAAATGTTGTCGAAATAAATTAAAGTGAGACACTTTTTCAAATGAGTGAGAAACACGCTATGTAATCACATATACACACTTACAAATTTATGCCTTTCATCAACCTACTCACACCCATGCGTTTTATGTGATAATTAGATTCTCTCATATGACATCCACACATATATATCTGTGTATGTGTGTGTGTATGTGTAGGAGTATGGATCCCTTTCCATATTGAAACATTTATCTTACAAGAATACATATTCATTCATATATTTTTGAATCCAATTTGTTTTTCAAGCAGTAATTGTTATTTTTTAGCTCATTGTCACACTTACTATTCGTCAGTCATCATTGTGATCTAACAAACTAGAAAAGACAACACAAAACAGCGAATCAGAAGAGTCTTCTTGTTCACCTCATAAACAAACAAAGGAGAAAAAAAAAAGAAATTTATTTTCCATTCATCTTACTTATGTCGATGTAGTGATTGTGTCAAAATGTATCACTTGTTCGTTTGTTTGAATAAAGCATTTTGGATGTGAATGACCTTGTAGACATTTCCTTTTTCAAATTTCCAGTTTATTGATACATGTCATTCCACATTGTTATGACGGATCTATTTGATCGACCGCTATCGCATGACGAGTCTTATATATTATATCATTCATTTGTCCCTTCGGTTCCTAGAGGAACATAGAACTTCAGTAGTAGGTTGCCATTTCACTCCACTCTATGCAGCACCTCTAACACAACTTCAAAACTCTTTTTCTTTCCACATCTATTTCAAAGAGTTCCAGTGTTCTTTTACGGAGGTTCCTTCAGGGATGTTGCTCAACGTCTCACATTTTGTCCTGATGACTGACGATGTGAGGGTGTCATTTGTAGTTTCGTCCTTCAGTTTCTGTTCTGGGTGTTGAACTTGAACTGTGGTCTATCACCAACCTCTTTGAAGGCTTCCAACTTAATTTTGAAAGTAAGCTTCTTGCACTAAATAGTGAGGGGTATGAACCTAAATCTGCTCCCCTTCTCGATCTAATGTCAGTAGGGTGCGTCTTCACTTTCTTCACATTTAAATAAAGTCAATCTGAATTTTAGTGTGTCCTGATGTGTGGTGAAATCAAATCCATGTCTGCCTTGTGAATATCCTTGTGCTTGTACACACCGCTTGCCATAACCAAATCGTTGAATGCGCGGAAGTTCACAAACACTTCCCCATTCTCGTTCATTTCACTGAGTGCTTCTCGACCCATGATTGGTTCTCTTCCTATATTGTCTGCTCCCAGTTTGGCACTCACGTCACCAATTAGAATGAGTTTTGATGTCGTCATCTTGGGTGGAGTCTTGTCCAGTACTGATTGCAGTTGTCTGTAGAATCCCTCCTCCTCCTCTTCATCTACATTATTTGTAGGCGTGTAGAATTGGTATTGTACGATTGTGACTTTCCTTCCTTTTAAGTTGAACCTTGCTGTCATGACCGTGATCCTGGAGGAGATTGACAGACTTCGATGCTCTCGAGGACATCATGATAGCCACTGCCTCACTGTGCTCGTGGTTGTCACCTGTGTGACAATATCGGAGTAGATAATTGACTCTCCAGTTGACAGTTTGGAAAGTCTACATCCAATCCATCTGCTTTCGAAGGTTTCTAGCACTTCTACGCTATACCCTCTCATCTCTTTTATAATCTGGACAGCCTTGGTAGGTTCAAACATGGTGCAGATATTCCATGTCCCCATTTTTACTTTCGCTTTCATGGACAGGGAGAAGACATATCGGCCAACTGGTTTCCATAGGGGTTCAGCAACCAGCGTCATTTCGCCTTTCCGATTTCAGGGAGAAATAAATTGGCTTTTATTTTCCGTATTTCGTTTGTGCTTTGAAGTTTCTTCAGCGGTTACATTTGTTTTACGGGGTAGGGTTGCTAGCCCTACGCCCAACCTTCCCTCTTTACCCGGGCTTAGGACCGGCTAGTTGGATGAAGCCACTGTACATAAGTCCAATATAATTAGGTGGAAACAGAGAGAGAGAGAGAGAGAGAGAGAAACACTCAGTGTTAAGATCTACTCCACTCCACTTCACTCCACTACACTACACTACAATACAATACAATATAATACACTCAGCATAAAGCGTCAACAACATCCGGATTTCCAACACTACTAATCACAGTCAACTAAATCAGTGAGTGCTTCCATGTGATGCTTGAGGGACTTGGCGTGTCACGAAAAGCACCTCCAACGAACTACACACACACACACACACATACACACACATCACATCACATCACATGAACAGCTGCCGTCTGCCTACCCTCACCCCATACTGATAGTGAAGATAAGATGACCAGAATAACAAGGATAAGAATAAGCGAGGAGGAACTGTGGCTGACTGGCAGGCTGGCAATCAACCAACCAACAACCTATCACTCAACAAATATGTGGTAGAAGAAAGTGGAGATGGATTGGACTGAACTCGATTGGATTGGATTGGATTGGCAATACACTGAGAAGAGTGTTTGGTGACACCACGCGTCATGTCAGGTCAGGCTAGGTCACGTTAGGTGGTCGAGTTTAAGCAGAATGTGAAACGACGTGTTTGGCGTGTGAGGTGAATGTGACATGGAGGCGGTGGTGTGAGGAAGAAATGAAAGCTTGTGGAGAGTTGTGAAGTTGTGTTAGAGGTACTGCATAGAGTGAAGTGAAATGGCAACCTACTACTGAAGTTCTATGTTCCACTAGAAACCCAAGGTAAATAACATTCAGCGCATTAGAATCAATTTGGTCATATATGCAGCATGATAAAATCACGTTGAATGAAAATATAATTTTGTTAGAGTAATTGACCTTATCAATAAAATTAACACGTTTGAATGAATCACGAATTGTATGAATTAAGCCTAACCTTTTTATATGCTCCAAGAATTTGACTATCCAGTGGATAATAGGAAGATAAGGCGATCTTGTTATGTCAATATACTTACAAAAGTTTGCTTAATGTCGTAGGATGTAGTTTCATTACAAATTACTTTCTTTGATGTAGCTCACAGGGTTAAAAATCTCTTAACTCGATCCAATTAATATATTGTAGTTAATAATATATCACTTTTGATGTCAGGTAGGCAGTAAGCTAGAAACGTTGGATATGAGATTCGTGCTCGTTGATATTGGTCAGCAGATAGTACCTGAAAACTTGAAGGTACTGATGATCATTCGGCGACTAATCTAAATATCCCCTAGTTACAGTACTGGTTAAAGTTGGTTCGGATCACTAAGTTGACAGTATTTCACTCTAGTATCCAGGTCCACGGTTTCCAGTCGATGTATTCAGGCCATTCATCATCCGACTTAGTTCACTCCAGTGATGGGTCTCCTGACTTATAGGTGACACTGCTTATCTGATCGATAAATTCCGGTCAGGAATTAACTCGAGACAGGATCACATATCTTGAGTGGTATCATAGTTATTATTATGATCATCATCAGAAACGTAATCCCCCCAAGGGATTTCCATTTATGATAATTTGGTTGGTTGTGGCTAGTAGAAGAATCCAGGGCGCCCATTCCGTCCTATTTGGACTCGTCAGCCGGACGTACCTGCACCCCAGTGGTATTGTTCCCAGTGGGACTCGAACCTCTTACCCGTCGCTTCATACGCCGGAGCGTTATCGGCTATGCCACGGAGAAGCAGTAGCCACTTCTTGTACTTCCAATTATTATGAGGATACCTGATTTCTTAATCAATCATAATAGATCACAATTTATTGAAAACTGATGTTATAGCAGGATAAATACCACCTGAAAATCACTACATAAATTCCCCATAAACCTCTGAATCGAATCATTAAGAAATGGCTATTTGTAATCCATGTGTTTTTTCATTTTACTATGTCAATTAGAAATGTCACACAGTGAAGGAACAGTATAATTTACTGGATAAAATGTTTTGAACACAATTTATTGTCTACATTCATATCACATCGGGTAACTCCACAACTTTGAGACAGAGTTTATATAGTATAAGGGTTTTTATATGATACTGTCGTTGATTGGACCGATTTGACATCCAGCTGACGAGTGCCAAATAGGAAGAAATGCGCATCCTGGATTCCACTGCTAGCCACGATCTATCATTAACATAATTAGATTGCTGGCAATATCGAGGCATCCGCACAGGAGCCCATATGCCAATAGAGACCAATCAATTCGGTCCAATCAACGGCGGTATCTTATAAAAACCCTTATACTAAAAACTATATCCGTCGCACAAAAAGTGCGTATCGTGGCTCGGTGGTGTAGTGGATAACGCGCTGGCGTTTGAAGTGACCGCTCTTCAGTCCGAATCCCGGCGGGAACAACACTCACTGGGATGCAGGTACATCCAGCTGACGAGTCCCAAATAGGACGAGATGAGTACCCTCCAATCCACTGGTAGCCACGATCCATCATTAACAGGGTTTATATTATCCTAATCTACTGTCCTTCTCTGTTATGACAAGAGTAGCAGATACATAATGAGATGAAATTACAATATACCATAGTGATTAAGTTTTCCTCTTATATTAATGAAACACTTATGGTCTTCTTGTTCGGAGACTAATCCACAAACTCATACAACCTTCACAGACAGAAGGCAGATACATACACTATTGTATATTCAATATTCGATGTCATACAAATCACATCATTCCTATATATCTACATCTACGTGCACCGATTTCAACAGATAAAGTCATAACAGCTATAATATGTGTCAGTAAATTCTATCTTAAAGAAGAAATTCATGCAATGAAGCAAGATCAGCCGCATTCAATAAATCGAAGACGTTCAACAAACCTATGGAAGAAACATATGCAGTCAACAATAATGAAATTAGCAATAGCATATCACTAGTGATAGATAAGTCAAAGTGGGTTGTCAATCTCTTAAGTAGATTCCTAAGCTCAACAGAAGTGAAAGTTCTAGAGAAAGGTTTTCACTTCAATGTATAGCCGTTAAGGAGTTGAAACCAGAAGATATCATTCCCAAAATAGAAATAGGGTAAAGTTCAATAGATAAGACAATTGCACATGAGGTAAGAGTACGGTGTTCTCTAACACTGAAACGATAGAAGAAAACGAAATCTAATTTACCGAAATCAGATAACGAAGCTCTCAGGAACCTTCGAAATGATAAAACGATATAGTAATTACCAAATTGGATAAAGGTAACTCAATAGTTTTAATGAGCAAATCTGACTATATCTAAAAAGTGAACCAGCAAATAGAATCAGGACCATATGAGGAAATTAAGAAGTCAATTACCACTACTAGTAGTAGTAAGGATAAGAAATCGATAGGGGGTCTGATACGCCAGCTGAAGCCATTTCTAGGTGAGTCAAAACTAACAATCCCAGTAGAATGTATGCTGCTATTGAAATTCATAAGCAAGGTTATTCCAACAGGCCTATAGGAGATTTTAGAAACACTTCGACTTACGAGTTGTCTTAATATTCAGCAATGGTGTCAAGCCCAGTTAGAAATCAGTCAAAATCTCGACTTACTAA